GAAGTATTCGACGACTTACAGAAGTGCAAGGCTGCTTTTAAGAATGAGATAAATCTTAAAGTCAAGTGCCTAAAGTCAGAAAATGGTGGTGAATATAGAAGTCCAGAGTTTGTTGATTGCTGTTGAGGATGAGATCTAAACAACGAAAATGGTTCTAAAGACACCTTAATATAATGGTGTGGTGGAGGGGGTCGACTATAGAGAAATCTTTTCTCTAGCTGTGATGATGGCCACAGTCAGAAAGGTACTTGGTATTGTCGTTGCAGATCATTTTCCTCTAGAGCAGCTTGTTGTGAAAAATTCTTTCTTACATGATGAACTGATGAATATATCTACATGGTATAACTAAAAAAGTTTCCAGAGTGTTAGAAAGAAAACTTGGTGTGCGAGTTGATGAAAAGCCTATATGGATTATAACAAGATCCAATACATTAGGACTTGAAGTTTTATGAATTCATTAAGCGGAATGAGTACATGAGATGTGACATTGATCATTGCGGCTACCTGAATTCCTCTAACATTATCTTTCTTTATATTCATTACATGTTGGTACCTAGGTTTGACATGAATGAGATCAACAAGGTGAAGAAGTAGTTATCAAGATAGTTCAAGAAGTAGTTTGGCTTAACTTATGCTAAGGATATAAGTACACCTCTTGGAGTCGCTTGAAACTTTCCAAGAGTCAATACCTAATTCTAACAAGAGAAAAGTAGAAATGACATAGGTCCCCTATGCGTCAATAATATGTAGCCTGATGTATGTAATGATTTTCATTAAACAGACATTGCTCATACTATGGGAGACTTTACTAAATTCATGTCCAATCTTGGAAAAGGAGCGTGAAGAAGGTTACAAGTGGCTTATTTGCTACTTGAATTTAACTTCAAATGTTACCTTATGTTTCCAAAATCAGAAGTTTATCATTGAAGTCTTTGCATATGTTGACTTTGGGAGTTGTGCAGGTTAAGGGGAAACACTATGAGTTATGTATTCACAATTTAACTAACAACCATCAATGAGATGTCATAACTACAAAAGAGTGTTGTTCTTTTAACCACTAAAGTAGTAGATATAGATATAACAAAAGGTAGAAAGGAGCTCATTTGCCAAAAGAACTTCCTATAAGATTTAGGCTTTAATCAATAAGTATGTATCATATATTATGAAGAGTTTGGGATTTTCAAAACTAGGTGGTAGAAGTAATATCGTTCAACCTCCAAATGGGAGATTGTTGACTTGTGGAGTCTAATTTAATACCAAAGGCAAAGTTGCTACAAGTTCCGTAAAGGGTTAATCTTCTTAGAACGTATTCTCGACTTCCGAGTGCAATATGATTTTTGGTGTCAGCAAAGGTTGAATCAAAGTTGAAGTTGAGGCAATAACGCAATCTCGGTAAGATGTTTTGAAGCAAAATTTCACCTTCAATGTTATCAAAAGCTTCAATCGGTAGCTACGCACTTTTTGTTCCAACGATACAAAATTGAACATTTCAAGCTTAGATCACTAGTTTACTTTATATGTTAGCATGTTACAACCCTATTAGCCCCACTTAAACTCTGTAGGTCAACAACGCTATAAATATATCTCAATTATTGTAACTCGGATATGTGATTAGGAAAATATTATATGAGGTGTTTTAAATTCAGTAAATACATAGATCTTGTATAACATATTGAAATCAATAAAAAAAATCTCTTCAATTTGCTTGTGGATGTTTCTTACTCAAATTGATCAAGTGAACCATGTTAAATCTGATTGTGTTTTTGTTAATATTCTTACCATAATCATTTTAATTGTTGTAAGTTTACTTTATGTCCTAACGTGTCACGAGACCGATTGGTCCAACCTAAAATATTATGGTCAATGAAATTGTAAATGTATATCTCATTTATGGCAACCCTAATGTGATTAGAAAAATAGTGCGTGAGGCGTTGTAAATACAATAATTACATACTGTATAACATATTGAAATCAACAAATCTCTCCGTTTGCTGATGGATGTTATGTTAAATTTTTTGTGTTTTTGTTAATCTTATTAATTAGCATAACCATATTTATTACTGTATTTTTTTGTCGAGTTGCCATTCTTTGGAAAATTATTCTATTGAGGATTTTATATTTTACTAGTTTTAACTCGTGGAAACCACGATTACAAAATTAATTAAACTTTCATAATAAAAAACTAAAAATGATTAATCAATTATTTTAAATAAATTATTAATTAAGAGATATTCTTTGTTATTAAAATTATAATCGTTAAATTAAATAAATACATGAATAATATCACCTTATAATCTGTATTAATTTTTTTCCAATGTTATTAATTTAATTTCATTAGAGTGAAAAATTTAAAATTGAAAATCAATAGGTTGAAAAGTGACATGATACTCTAAGAGCATCTCCAATCCACTCTCATTTTCTATTTTTTCTCATATTTCTTCCCCCATTCATCTCCAACCCTACCCCATTTATTCCCCCATGAATAGTATAACACCAAATATGGTGTTATACTATTCATTTCACTCAAAATGGGGATGCACTTTGAGTTGACAGTGTTAATCGATCTTTTTATATATTTATACATTATTAGGTTATTTTATTTACTAATTATAATTTAAATGTATTATTTAATACTTATAATATTGTATTATATATTAAATTATATTAATTATTATAAATATAAACTTTATTTTTTGTTTATCAAATTTATATGAAAATTTAAATCCATTGAAATTTTGAAATACGATAACATATTTTACAAAAGCTTATAATTAAATGTTATAAATATAATCTTATTTATTTAATAGTATGAAAAAAATAGATTATATATTTGTTAAAACCAAATTAGTAGAAGTGATATGATCGACAATCTATATAAGTTGGAAAAATGAAATATACTTTTTGAGGGTAAAAAATGAAGTAAGGTTGTAGATGAAACAATATTTACCCCATTTTTTTTCCATTTTTAAGTGAAAAAATAGAAATAAGTTGGAGATCGTCTAATTAAAAAGCATAATAGTAATTAAAAAGCATAATAGGATGACACATTAAAAAAAATATATGTAAACATATTTTTTTTTATTAGAATACGAATAAGACCAAAGTTTCAATGTTACATTTCAATATATTTTATAGACAAAATTACAAAAATGGTCCCTGTGGTATGCATTTTTTTGGGGTTTTAGTCCAAACCACGACTTTTTTGGATTGGTGGTCCTTTTGAACTAGTTTCGTTGTGTTTTTGGTCCTTCCAAATAGTGAAATGACTGTAATACCCTTGGGGTATTTATTTTCTATTTTTCCTTTTAAATGTAATACTGATTTATTTATTTTAATAATAAAAAAACAATAAGGGGCCCACCCCCTCCCTCTCTCTCTCTCTCGCTCCCTCTCTCTCTCTCCATCCTTTTGATTATGGTTCCTCTTTTCACCATGTTCTCTCTCTCTCTCTCTCTCTCTCTCTCTCTCTCTCTCTCTCTCTCTCTCTCCTACAAACTACCATTGGTATGATGCTATTTCTAAATAAAAACATCAGATTTCAAGCTAACATCAACTATTTGTAATTTAAGTCAAGTTTCAATTGCAACTATTTAGCCACCATAAAGAACAACTATTTCAAGAACAAGAACAACCATGAAGCATCATTACTGCATTTGGGAGGGAAATTCCTCTGTTCTTGAGCTTTTTACTACAAATGCTGAATTGAAAAAGAGAAAAAGAGAAAAAGAGGAACCATGATCAAAACAGACGTCAACCACCATACACCACTAAATTACATTACCATACAACAACCATCATCTTGCCATCACCAATCATCAGAATCGTCAAACCATTACATCTACCTCCTTACATCGCTCAACACCAGAATCACCAACCATCAGCCCCACCCACCATCTCCTTCTTTCTTTCCCTTTCATTCGTTCCTTTTTCCTTTCAATCCATCATCTTGAAGCAGTGAAGTCAAACCTACGTCAATCTGGCAGAGTTAGGGGTTTAGGGTTGTATACACACAAAGACACATCGATCTGCATAGTTAGGGATGTGAGGCAGAGTAGATGCAATGCAGTGGTGGGCGACGATGGTCAATGGGGGTTGTGGCTGAAGTGAAGTTGATAAGGTGAGTTCACAAAAGGGAAGGTTGGTCGTGGTTGACCGGCTTTCCGATTAGAGGGGGCGATGGGTATTCTTTACAAATAGAGACATGGAAAAGTAGAAATTACAATCGATGGATTCTACGTGGTTTTGTTAGGGATGACAAATTGATTTGTATAGGGTTTTGTAGGGTTGCTTCCTTCGGAGACTCGAATCCCAAGCCATACTCTGATCCTCTTTTCTCCTTCGATCGATTAGTGTTTGATCTATTCAACAATTGAAACCCTAACAATGGGGTTTACACTTTTTTCCTTAATTTCCGATGTCAAGATGTTTCTTCTCACGCGTGTAGTTGATTCAATCTGGGATGGGCATTTATCATTTTCGGTTTACGAACATATTTAATGTTTTAGGGTTAGAATTGGGTGAATTGGATGGAGAAGATGAACTTAAGGTCGCTTCGAGAGAGAGAGAGAGAGCCTTCCTATTTTATTTTTTATTAAAGTAAATAAATTAGTATTAGATTTAAAAAGAAATGAAAGAAAAATAGAAAATAAATACCCCAAGGGTATTACAGTCATTTCACTATTTGGAGGGATCAAAAAAGCAACGAAACTAACTCAAAATGACCATCAATCTAAAAAAGTTGTGGTTTGGAAAGCAGGAACTATAATTATTCATATTGTACAACGTCACATTTCAATCATTAGTCAAATTCTCACGCATATTTTTTATTACTCGCCGATTAATTTACTAATTTGAGAATATCATCTAATTATCTACTAAAATTATATATACTATTTAAACAAACACGTTATAATAGCGTTAAGCAATCAGTGGGTTTACTTTGTAACATCTAGTCAACGTTTACTTTAGACAAGTACAAGAATATATACATGTAAATATGACGACTTTTCCACAGAAGAAAGTACCTAAAATGAACCCAAACCTGTTCGAAGCATCCTTAACAGGAAATGTACAACTCCTTAATGAATTGCTCCAGGAGGACGAGCTCGTTCTTGACAGGATTCCACTCAGCTGCTTCAGCGAAACACCATTGCACATTGCAGCCTTGAGAGGCCACCTCGATTTCGTGAAGATGCTTGTGCGTAAAAAGCCGCTACTCGCTATGTCTCTTGATTCGGAAAGAAGAACGGCTCTCTACTTGGCATCTGCCGAGGGCCACGTGGACATTGTATGTGAACTCTTGAACGTGATGAATTCTGATGGATGGCGTTTCCACGACCAAGAAGGAAGAACAGCGCTGCACTTGGCTGTCATGAATTTACAATTAGAGATAATAAAACTTCTGATTCAGAAAGATCTTAGTAAAGAGCTACAAGGAAACGGGGAGACCATTTTGCATACATGCATCTCGTGGAATCGCTTTGACGCCATGAAATTGCTGTCTGAACTATGGAATGATGAAGAGCTGGCGAAGCTCACAGATTGCAATGACAACACCGTCCTACACCTAGCTGTCGTTCATAAACAGATCCAGGTTTTGTATTAACTTTCCTTTTAATTAAGACCCGTTTTCACTGATCTGTCAATGTCGAATTGCTCATGTTTATAATTATATGTGCAGACTGTTACGTATCTTCTTCAGAAACAAAGTCTTAGAGCAGCTGGAAACATTGTTAATGGCTTCACAGCACTTGATATTCTTGATCATTGTCCACAGGATCTCAGTGCACTACAAATTCGTAGTTTTCTTATCGAAGCCAGCTTTCTGAGATCTAAAGACGTAAGTCATTCCTTTAGACCATTTCAAAGGTCAACTGAATCGAAATCCTCAGAAACAGTTGCCAATCCGGAAAGCACGCCTAAAGGATGTATGTCAAGAGTATGGAACTGGTATCTGAATCCAATGGAGATTGGTTGGAGAAACAACGTGGGATTTTGATTCTGGCAGCAATATTAGTGGCAGGAACATCATTCTATTCTGGGCTACACCCTCCAGGAGGAACGTTTATCAGTTCTAATGATGGATCTCTGGGAAACGCAGTTCAAACAGAAGTAGTAATGGGTAATTCCACCACATTCGTGATACATAATACCATAATCATGGTTGTTTCAATGATGATTGCTCTAGCGTTTCTGAGTGGAATCTCTCTCCGGAACAAGTTCTGTTTGTGGGTGCTCAACCTCGCAAGTGCTTGCATCCTGTTTTTACGACTCTTACTTATTTACAGGAGATAGCATGGATGTCGCCTGATTCCTGGGTGAATGCTCCAACAGCTTACATGTGCTTTTCATGGATACTGCTATGCTTTTTGTTTGCCTTCATCCACACGGTATTCTTCGGAATATGGGTGATAAAGAAGCTCTTGAACGCTAGAACAAGGAAAAGGAACAATATATGATTATGTTGTGGTATAATAATCTATAGTCTGTCCGTGTGTACGTTGATCATATTGAATTTGTTTCTATTAATCTCTATATGTATCATATGTTTTATTTGCTTTAGTTGTGGCTTGAGTCTTTCTTATGAAGTGAAGTATGAGTTTAATCGCATTTATGTGGCTTATGTAGTGGGACCAAGAGAAACAAGCGAGAAACCGAATCAAATTTAAACCGAAATAATTCTTATATCAGACCTCCTTTTAAATTTTTACCTAGCTAGTTTGATTGTCTTTGGTGTTGTTTTAGATGCTTAAAACTTGAAAATGTATAAGAATTCACTCACTAAATGAATTACGTATAGTTAATTTGGATGCTTACACATTAATTATTTCTTATCATGCTTCATTCCTACCTATAAGTAGTGGCGGATCCAGCCCGGAAGTCAAGTGCGTGCATAGTTGACCGTTAACCGGTGTAAATTAATAATAATAATAATAACCAAAAAATATAATAACGTTAAAACCTTCAACTAAATGTCATTTCACAGTTGAAATCTACGAGGGCACATAGCTAAAAGACGTTTGATAACATTTTTCATTTGTATCTTTGAAAATCCTTCTCTTTCAACCGTTCAAATTACATAATCATTTAGAAAATCATCCGAAATTTGATTCCGCAAATCCGACTTTACAAGCTTCATCACGGAAAAACATCTCTCTACCGTTGCGGTTGCAACCGACAAGACCAACGACAACTTCACTAACCGATAAATCAAAGGAAAGAACTGATGCATCTTGGTTTCCACCATCACTTTAGCATGGTCGGATATGCTCTTCAAAGTTGCAAATCTTTCATCTTGTTGCATATGATTGGGGTAAACCGAAAGTTCTTATATAATATCCAACCTATCTTTAGAGCTAAAATCATGTGGATAGAAATCGATTAACTTCCGTAACTTGGATGGGTCAAAGTCACAAAATGATTCATATGGATTCAAACATGTCATACAAATAAGCAGTTCGGAACTTACTTCATTAAAGTGATCACTGAACTCTTGAATTTGTATATCCAAAACCATGTTAAAACAAAAAAACTCGTAATAATGGTGATTGGAAATATTGGTATATTGTCTTCGAGCTCGTGGGTTGACATAAACTTCTTCCATGTTCAACATTTTAATGCCATTATTCTCACAAAAAGATGTGATATCCAATATAAGTGCATCAAACCCATCATCTCTCATCATTTTTAACGTTGCAATGGTTGATTTCACCAAACTTATAGCATTCACAATATTTTTATGCTTTCTTTGTAGAGCTTGCGACAATATGTTTGTGATCCCTAAAATTTTCAACATCAATTGCAAGTGGAACACAAAGTCAAATGATCGAAGATATATTCGAAGACCACTTGCTTGACGTTGACTAAAACTATTAAGGCCTTCATCTTCAGTATATTCAAGCACACCAAAAACAAATGAAAACAAACCAACCAAACGCGATAGAGTTTTATAATGAGAATTCCAATGCGTATCTCCGGCTCTAGTAAGAGAAAGTTCTTGGTTTAATCCACTTCCGGTTTCATTTCACCACGGCCGATGGATTCTTCTAGTTTATCTTTTTGACTTTCGTGTATCATATCTGTATGTTTACAAGAAGCACACACAACATTCATTAGAACAACTACCATATCAAAAAAGTCTCCAACGCCGTGATGTTTTTTTGCAACCGCGACAAAGACTAGCAGTAGTTGCTGAGAAAAGCAATTAACATAATATGCAGAGGTATTTTCTCTCATGATTAAAGATTTTAAACCATTAAAGGTCCCACTCATATTGCTTGCTCTATCATAACCTTTTCCCCGGATCTTCGTCAAACTCAATCCATATTCAGAAAATAAAGAGTCAATAATAGATTTTAAAGACAAAGCATATGTCTCATTCACATGAACTAGACCAATAAACATTTCTTTTACAATCCCACATGTAACGTATCGCAAAACTACCGCCATTTGTTCCTTTTTGGATATATCGCTGGACTCGTCAACAAATATATGTGTGTGTGTGTGTATATATATATATATATATATATATATATATATATATATATATATATATATATATATATATATATAAGCTTTTGCTATCGGTAGTATAACAACCTTGAGCAATACACTTTTTTTTAATATGTATCCCAATTTATAATGTGACTACAATAATGTCTTGATGAAAATTTATGTCAATTGGTAGTGTGGTGAATTCTACTTGTTTGCATCTCGCCTAGTTACGTGTCATGACTAAACTAGAATGGATTGCAAACGATTATGCATCTTTTGATTTTCACAAATCACATTCATTGAGTGACTTATGGACATTTATCCCATTGTTTGCATAAATTCCAGTAGTACGTTCATAAAGAAGTCTTAAATCGATTTTTAAAGGAGGAATGTATCAACTAATTTCATGTTACTAATTATTATGTCATGTCACCAATAATTAGGCCAAGTCATTCTTTAACCTATAATAGTTGGTTACCAATGGGTATTCTTTAAAAAATATATATAGTTTGTTGATGTTTTTTGTACAAAGACCTTCTTTGAATGGTGTTTTTTTGAAAAAAACCAAATTCCGATTTGTTTTCCGAATGATTTTGAAACATAATTACCCCAACGAGTCATTTACTCTTGTTTATTTTCCTTTAATAATTTTTTACCGGTAATTACCCGTTACGATAAGTTGAAATTGAACAAAGTATGTAGTTTATTGGTATTTTTTGTACAAATATTTTATTTGGATGGTGTTTTTTGAAAATAGCCAATTTGAATGGTGTTTTTTGAATGATTTTGAAACATAGTTACCCTTATAAGTAATTTTCCTTTTATTTTATTAGCGAAATGCAAGGTATATATGTTTTAGGGGTTTTTCATGCTCTCACTTCCCTTAAGTAGCTAATCGAGATGGTTCTTAACCCTCTAAGCCTATGCATCACTAGATAACTATCTATTACCAACTAACTCCATGCATTAATTCTTTCCACAAATAAGCCTCTCAAAGACAACTCCGTAACAATTTTCACTTTGATTGAGACGCTCAAGCAAGTCTTTAAATTAGCTCTCCATCACTACTAGAAAAAAACCTTTAATGAAACATAAATTACGAGACACACTAATTTTATGAAAAAAAATATATGTCAACAAACTAATGTCATTATTTTTGTGAAAATTGAATCATAAAATTAACGTCATTTTTTCATGAAAATTGAAGGATTTAAGACATACATAGTTGTCTGTTGTAAAATTATCTTATTTTTGAAAAAATAACTCGTGACTCTTTCTAATTATGTATGCGTCTTGAATATTGATGAGAATATTGAGTTATAGATCGATAGATTCTAAACAGAAAAACAAGAATGAAGTAATCAAAGAACACAAGAATGGATCAAATGGTGTCGAATGATTAATAACTCACACCTCAGAAGAGCTCGATGAAAAACTTCGACTGTAGAGGTGTGCTAGGGTTACAATGCAAAGTAATTAATGAGAACGAACCCTTAACGCAATACATGCATGAAATATATAAATGCTAACCATAATGATTATCCACGGTTGGACAGGCCCAAACCGGGTAAACTAAATGGACTAATTGAACCGAGCCCACGACGCAACACTTAGACCCAACAATCTCCCCCTTTGCGTCAATGAGGCGAGAGACTACTTCGGCTGAGTTACTTTGATCTTCTTTACAACCTTGAACAGCCGAGGAATAATTGCAAGAAGAGTTTGCCAAAACAGAATATACCATCGAAGCATATCAGTAAACAGCTTCTTATCGGCTTCACTGTTCTGATTACACCTATGAATAATCTACAAAATGTGTTCCAAACAAGCGGTGGATAATAGGTGTTTGTCAATTAGAGCGAACAGGCATTTTTGACCTTCGGCTATCATGAACATAACAGTGTGAAACTTTGGATCGATCTTCCCCTTAACCATCGCATTCACATCGCCTGCCCTTCCAATCGCCTTCACAGTGGTTTGCTTATGAATAGCAGCAGCGATCTCCTGATCCATCTTCGCGGCTTCATGAATATAACATACAAGCATTCGCTTGATGTGATCGATAATAGGCTGATACTCTTGTGGATTGGTTAGCAAAATATTATTGAGAAGTTTCCAGTCGTGAGGGTTCAAGTTCGGTAGGTCAGCCAGGGAAATCATATGAACCGAGCTATCAGAGCCTCGGGTCACCTTGAACTTGACGTTGATGAATTTCCCTGCCGAAGTGGGCTTCAACACCTTGACCGTTGTAATTTTCTGATTGCTCCAGGTCAGGTATTGTGGCTGAGCAAACTCCAGATAATATTCGAGCAAATCCCGATCGACCTTCGGGTCTAGAGAAGGAATGCCAGCCGTCGACTCAAAGCAGTGGAAGATGAATGCCTTTCGGGAGATAGGCATGTCAAACTGTGAGTCCTTAGAGTTCTCAAGCCCGAACGATGAAACTGGTTCGAGCCAATGAGTGCTCGGCGCTTCAATAACCTCTCTTAGAAGCAATTCTATAGTCCATTCAGGAAACATGGACTTCTTCTGTTCCAACAATTCGTTCGCTTTCAACTCCTTGTCAAGGAGTTCCTTCTCTTTCTGAAGTCTTTCCCGAATCTCTTGATCAATGGGCTTGACTTTGAAACTTTCCTTTTTCTAAGCATTTTCTCCTGTATTATTGTTATCATCACTTTCATCCACATCATCGTCTCCAATTTTCTTCTTTTTCTTGTCCTTCATACTGCTCGAAGCTTCATTAACCTTCGGCTCAGTAGTGACTTTCGGTTTGGGAGGTGGATGAGGTTGGCCTTTGCCCT